CTATTTTTTGGCAATACATCACAATTATCTCCCAAGCTTGTCCCATGCTTCTGTGCTACTGGACAAAGCAAAAAAATTCTATTTGCACATCCTGCCCATTTTAATCCTTCCTTTTGGTAGCAGGTTGAGGGTTAATGATAAATAGTATCTTAATCATTTCCTGTCAGTTTCTTTTTCTGTAGGGATAATTTTACTAATTGATTTCATCTTAGTGGTCAGAATCTCATAGGTTACACTCACCGCAATGGCATTTAACTACTCAAGAAATCATTGTAGGTGTTTATCATTTCATAACAATATCTTTCACCTTGATATCATTTGTAAGAGTAATCACTGATCTGAGCCAATAATCTGATTTAATCTCAGAACTGTGAAGCCAGAAGGGGTTATCAAGTCCAGCTTTTTGCTTCCCAACCAAACCATTGAGCTATCCAGCCATTCATGTTAGTGTTGGTATTGATTGATTGATTGATTGATTGATTGATTGATTGATTGATTGATTGATTGATTGATTGATTGATTGATTGATTGATTTGATTTCATTTCATTTCATTTCATTTCATTTCATTTACTATACCCTGTCCATCTGGTCTATATGACCACTCTTAAATTACACTGTTTGGTGCCATCAAGTTGAAATTGATCTATAGTAACCCTAATGGGGCTGTAAAAGTATGTAAGATATTTAAGGAGTAGCTTTACCAGTTCCATGCCCCCAGTAAGCTTCCATTGCTAAGCAGGACAAGCCTCCTGACTTCTTGTCCATCATCTTATCCACTACACTATATTAGATAATGCAAAACAGGGAGTCCTCTCTTCAAATTTCAGTTTAGTCCGCAAAATTGACTTCATGCCCTTTGAACTAATTTTTCAGCCAAACCAAATTTACGGAATTGTTTCCAATATAAAATGGGAGAAAGATAATGATGTACTTTACTGGGGCATAGAAGAGCTAGAGAAAGTAGCTTTTGTGGACTATAGCTACGATAATCTCTCAGTCAGTATTCATTGCTATGGATTACCTGCCTTCTATGCACTATTGTAGCCAGCTCTGCAAAGACCAAACATTCCCACAAATATAACATTTACATCTCCATAATCTCCTCTACAGACACTGTAGATAGCTTCATTCATTGGCTAATCACACTGAAAGGTTTGCTTCTTCCAACAAAAGCAGTTGGCCCAAACAGTGACAGTGTATTTTGCCTTTTATCTCTGGTTCTGTAAGAACTAGTCTTACTTTTTTTAACTAATGGTGTTTTTAACATTTGTTTCTTTAATCACATTTTAATGTTAATGTCTTAATTTATTGTGATTTTTACAATATTTTTACTGTAATGTTAATGTCTTAATTTATTGTGATTGTTACAATATTTTTACTGGTTGCACACCACCATGTGTTCCTTTATTGGAAAAAAAATAGATATAAAAGAAACAAAATTTCTTTTCTAATGAAAATTTTGAACTCAGGTCTGCCGATGGGCTAAATTATATGTGGAGCTTGTGTGGAGAAGAGGGAAAGCTGGGAGAAGAAGCTGGTGTGGGAGTCTGTGTGTCAGTCAGTACCAACCTGATAGGTTCAGGTGTCTGTATGGTTAGCCAGAACTGATAGGTTCAGGGTCTGTGCTTTATTTAAAAGTGTTCTGAGTGAACAAAACTGGTGTATGCATGATTGAGACTAAGCCACGTTACTGTATCTTATTCACTTGATCATTTTATTTTCCCTGTGTGTTGTTTAAATAAACCTTATTCCTTTATTTGTTGAAAATCCATTCCTGGTCTGTGTGACTCCTTACAGCGAATGGTTGGTGGCAGCTTAGTGAAACTGTGGCATATCCCAGTAGGTCTGGGGTTGTCACACACACTACCATGTGTTCCTTTATTGGAAAAACAATTGATATAAAAGAAACAAAATTCCTTTTCTAATGAAAATTTTGAACTCAGGTCTGCCGATGGGCTAAATGAGCACTGGGAGGGAGCTCCACAGCCAAGGAGCAACTAATGAAACAGTCTTCTTTGTGTCCTCCCCAAATTTGTCTGGGAGTATAGCAGGACCGTGACAAAGGCTTCCATCAAAGATCTCAAAACTTGTGCTAGCTTATACAGAGAGACAGTCCTTCCAATAATATGGAATCTATGAAGGAAGGCCTTTATGGGCCGTAGCCAGCATTTTGAACAGTAAGGAAATGCTCACTTGTTAATTTTGTGAGTTTTAGTTGATTATTCAATTTGTTTGTTCAATAAATGTATGTATCAGGGAAACACAACAGCCAATATAACCAATGTTGACAAACACAACGTAAAAAGCAGAGCTCATTTAAGGGGTAAAAGACTCTGTTTATTCCAAATTAAATTTACCTCAAATTTGCTTATTGGGAGATAAGCATAGCTTTATTTGCATACCTTTTTCTCAGATACGTAAATTGTCATATGACCTCAATGGTTATTAAAGCAGTTCACTTTTTCAGACATGAATATGTACATGAAAAATCATCAGTTCTTCTATAAATACATTTTTAAAATATGTTGGACATTGATTGCAACAGGTAACAGCTTGGGGAAAGCATTTGTTTCTAGAA